TGCTGCAGTTAGCTCCTATCTTGATATAGTCATCTTCTTTAAAGAAGCGACACGTGATTTTGAAGTGATAAGAGTACAATGTGTTTCATTTGTTGCGTTGCAGCGTCGAAGGTACGCTACCACCCCATATCCATGTTCACAGGCATCCGAGAAGACATGTAATTCACACTGTGTTATATCTCCAAATTCTGTAGGTTTGTAACTTTTGCTATTGACATAGTTTTTAGCTGAGGAAGGGAATCCAACCACTGTTTCCAATGAATCTGACAATCTTCTGGTATTGGTACATCCCAGCCGATTCCTTGGTGACAAAGATTCTGTTGAAGAAGTTTGGCCTTTAAAACAAATGGATCTGCGAATCCCATAGGATCATACACAGAACTGATGACCGATAACAGACTTCTTGTATAGGGTTTATCTTTGATCTGCATTTTAAATCCAAGAGTATCTGACTCAACTGACCAACATACACCCAAAGCACGCTCAGATGGTAGATCTTCACATGATAAATTTAAGTTTCTGACATCGTTGGCTCGTTCATCAACAGGTACAGATTCTAACACAGTGTGATGGTTACTAACCCATTTTGTAAGTCTGAATCCTCCAAGTTGACACAAAGTGCGTGCATCATGGATAAGTGAAATGGCCTTTGTTTCATTATCAACTGAAGAAAAGTAGTCTATGATAACAGCTGTTTGTCGAAGTGCTGCAATTGAACTGCCGGGTGAGGAGATTGCTCCAAATAAATGAACCAACATTCTGTAGACAACTGGTTCTCTTAAAATGTCTCCATTAGGCCACCAGTAGAACCGAAGACAGTCACAGTCTTCCTTAGGTACCTTCACTTGATAAAACATAGATTTTATGTCTACCATCAAAGCAATAGGCTCTTGTCTAAAACGAAGCAGAATGCTGGTCAAACTATTCATCAAATCTGGACCAGGTAAAAGTTGACCATTCAAAGATACACCTTTATATGTAGCCGTGCAATACAACACGTATCTTGCCAGGCTTTTGAGGGTGGTACACCCCATGTTGTGGTATGTACCAGACTCTACCGTCTTTCCTGTCCAATTCTCCGTCAGGAACTCTCTCTGCATAACCTTTTTTAAGAATATTTGCCATGAAATCTGTATAGTCTTTCCCAAATTCTGCGTTCTTTGATATTTGCCTTTTAAAACCTACACGTTGCTGAAGAGCCTGCATGTGATTGTCTGGCAATTTAACATCATCCTTCCTGAATGGAAGATTCAGATAATAATGACCATCCTTGTAGTCTATAGTATCCTCCATTTTCTTCATGAATTTCTTATCTTCCTGGGAGAATTCTTTCTTATCATCTGTAACACGTTCATAGAAGTCAATTGTCATTGACTGTTTAACCAATTGCTCAAGCTCATCGACCTCTTGAATTGCAAGCACTTCTGCTCTATGAACTAAACAATTTGAGTGCGGTTTCTCTGTGGATTCAGTGTTATCTGAAAACCTAAGAACATTCAACACAATCCATACTAGCAAAGTCTTCGCTGCATGTGGGGTGCCGCGGGAACCTGTTTTCAGTTCAGTTGGTGAACATGCATCGGGAACATTGTTTCCAATTAACAGACTAATCTCAGCATCCAGCTCAGGAAGTTCAAGGTCACATAAGTGAGACCAACAAGCAATATCTTTCTCTGTTGGTATGTGATTATTGGTCACAGTTATCTGAGATTTTGTGTAGACCTTTGGCATTCTGATTGAGTTCTCCATCTGTAAATCACAGACGTCTAGTCCATTAACAGCATAGGTGTGCATTGTATGAGGAGTTTTCATTGTTTCAATGGTGATTTTCATTTTTTTGCCTTGAATACCAAGCCCATGTCGTAAATTATCTGTACAAAAAGAGACGCTACTCCCTGGGTCCAGAAATGCATAGGGTTTCACTGTTTTCAAACCATCTTTCATCTTCACTATTACAGGAATGATAGCCATGGCACAATCAATGTCACTGACCCCCATATCAGAACCAAAGACACTTGGATGCTCTGCACAGGCACTAGCAATGCTCTTTCCTTCTGCCATTATTTGATCCCTCTTAGAAATCTGTTCAGAGTTCTGATAGTCTTGATTCTCTATATGCAGTAAAGTTTGGTGCCAAACTTGACATTGCTTACATGTGACCTTGAAGTGACAACTTTACTAAGATGACCCCTCTTCAGGCATCTGAAACACAAATCTTTTGTTTTCAGTAAAGAAATTATATCTGCATAAGGTCTGCCTCTTAATGTGTCACAACCCAGTAGACTGTGCTGTTGAGAATCACAATACAAACAGGGTTTCTGCAATGATCTGGTTTGATAGGTATATACAGTATTATGTTTATCATTTCTGTGTTTATCTTGTGTCTGTTTCTCTGTCTCCAGTGCGTTAATCTGGTTGGCAGCAAATGCATACTTAGTCTTGTTTGCTGATACGGATTTCCTATGAACCCACTTTCCTGTATTTTCATCTTTCCTGAGAGCTTCTTTTCCAAATATGGGATCATTTGCTTTTCTTACCTCTTTCTTCACAAAGTCCACAAGATGGTCCAACTTTACTGTTGCTTTCCGTTCTCTCAAAGTCTGTACACACCCCTGAACTTCTCCTGATATTGATAAGGTAGCTTCCCTTTTATTCTCTTAACATTCCAGAATAGTCTAGAACTTTGACGTAAGGCAAACTTTGTACAGCATTTTGACAGTCCCAGAGGAAGATTGAGAAGTCATCAAGTGCTTTGCGATATCCGCCTTTATAACTGGCCAGTCTAATGTTTTCCTCACAAAAGCATTCACTATAGCCTCTTCACTGCCATAGCGATCTTCAAGTTCTCTTAACGCAGCTGGATATCCCTGCACTGAATCTAAATAACCATAGCCTCTCACAGAGAGTTCATCTTCTCATCCACACATTCTGAATTCCTGACAATTTTTGCTTTGAACTGTCTTATGAACTTAGGAATTGGTTTCCTCAATTGTCGAATCAGCGCTAAAATTACTTCATCAGTACGAACCGGTGGTGCTGAAGGTACATTGTCAGACGACTCTACAAACACACGACGGTCATGACGTCGGGATGCATTCTGATCTGAAATTACTTCATCAGTATGAACTGGTGGTGCCGAAGGCACATGGTCAGGCGACTGTATAAACATACGACGGTCATGGCGTCGGGATGTATTCTCATCTGGATGCCTCCTGTCTGTATGTCCAAGCTCATGATATGCTATATTTCGTGAGTCAAACCCATCAAGAACAGTCTTCTTAGCCTCGGTGATAGCTAGTTCAGTCTTCAACTCTAGTTTCTCTTCTTCCATCTTAAGTTTCAATTTTCTAAGTTCTAACTCTTGCTTTTGCTCTAATGGTGCTGTTCTTGCTGACAGTTCAGCTCTCTTCTGTTCCTCTTTGATCAAAGCTGAGGCTACTGAACTCGCCCTGGAAACAAGTGATCTATTACTCCTACTTGTCCCGGACCTAACTTCCTGTCTCTCAAACCTAACAGATTCCATCCGCTCTTTGTCCTTAATTTGTAGCCATGTAGAAACGTTATCTTTAAACCATTAAAGATGTTCACTTTGTATTCTTAAAACACTCTCCAACTCTGGTACTGTCTCACACTGCAAACATAATTCCTCATAGTCACGTTTTGATTGATAAACTCATATTTCAGTAACCAGTCTCTGTATGTACTTTGTACACAAGTGTAATCATCTTCATCCTGCATCAGACAATCAATGTGTTCTTCTATAATATTCAACTTCTTAGTGATGCTACATATAATCTTTTCTTTCGATTCCATACTGTACTCAAGACCTTTGTCTGTCATTTGTCTAATCCTAGCCCCTGCTCTACCATCAGTACTTGTGAGTTCATCATCGGTCTGACTCTGAGTTTTCCTTTCGTTGTTACTCATGTTGGGGTAAAACGTCAATATTTGTAGTTCAAAGAATTGCTGTTATTCTTTTCTCTCAAGTTCATCATATTCATATTGAAACGTCAATATTTGGATTTGAAAGCAGATTCGGGCCAATTCAACGCAAGTGTCTTTGCTATAGATTTTCTGCAATAAAGAAATAAGGGAATCTGTAGTTCCATATAATGTTATCAGTATCGCAGCATTAACATTCTCAACTTCATCAATAAAGATACACTTTTGACAAAGTTTTACATTTCTAACTACCTGCAATGATGAATAATGTTAGTCAACATACATGACTACTAGTTCAGTACAAACAACCTTATTACTTGTTAAATTAATGACTTTGAAAGCCCAAACATACGAAAACCTGAGAAAATCTATTTTTAGAACTCGTGCAAAGCGAGCGGGTTTTGAATGCAGCAAACAGTATTGAAAACGTGGGATACGCACAAATATCATTACTTCATATTGCTGAAATGCTGCTGATAGATTCATTACCTATAACACAAAGTGTTGACAAGCAGAGAAATGTGAAAGTTACTCATACCGTTTGTTGACCATCTGCTCTCTGAAACGCTCACATGGCATGCAGGCGACATACTGATGACGAATCACATCGCTACCCAAAGTTATCTCCCCTTGACACCACTAAATGCAACCCGCAAAAATATTTCACGACAAACAAAAGTATAGGCGTTTCTGTCAACCATAACAAATTTCATACAAACCCACAAAAACAAAACATTCAAAATATATACAGTTTTGGCCGTAACACATGCTTCATTTTGCTTTATTTAATAATCAAAACGTCTTCGATATTGTTAGCGCTAGTGGGTAGAACGCATTGCATGCATTCCTTTACATAAAATGTCAGTAGTTAATCAATTACGTGTAATTAATTAGGCTAAAAAGCCAATTTCCAATGAATCATATTAATGATAATAACCAACAGCTTTTAAGATGACAAGTGTTTTTCAAAAAAAATACATTTGTATGCACTTGTAATTATATTTCTATGTACATTTGAGAATTCAATATTTTCTTAACTATGTTTCTATATATTGCAGGAGGTAGCAAGTTTGACTCTGGTAAGTACTACATTGTAGACACATGAAATCATATTCATATGTGTTATTCTGTTATTTCTGAAGAATAGCCCTTGACTTTGAATTATTACTTGTTGTTAGGTTACAGTCTCAACAAACGATTCTTGTTTCTTGTTACACCGCAGTTTATTTCCGTCATGAAGCATTTCATTACTTGAACAGTATAAGTGATTCAGCGGGTTCAAGCTGAAACCATACAGAACCTGATTTACAAAATGTTGCATGAAGGTACATCATGAATAATTGTTTAGGCTCAAATACATATTATGAAAGAATAACTTTGCTTTTGACACGTTAGTTTATAAGCGAAAATTACGCTGTCGTCACATTTGTTTACATTTCAAAGTTACGACATTTCTACAACTAATACAGCAAATTCGACAACAATTCTCCGGAAATGATGACAGTGCATGACTCATATAAAGGGTACTTACAAATTTCGTGGCAGAATCAGTTTGGTTTCTGTCTAATTGCATCAGTTTTGCTCCAAAGACGATGCTTGTCACAAAAAACAGGCCATGTGCGTTTTCGCCTTCCCAACTGCCTCTTTGCTTAACCTCACCGCAGTAATCTCCCCTAGAAGTCACCAATCCCACAATAATTATATCCCTTAGTACTTCCTACTGATCTACACTGTCACCAAGACCTATAAACTAGGGAAATTGAGATTACAATTTCAACTGACTTATTGAGGCTACATAACCGGCCCCTTAAATGCATAGATTAATGCCCTGTTAATCTAGCATTTAACTAAAACAAGCAAACTACATTAATGGAATATGACTAGACCTGAGATTCAGTCAAACACTGACCAGCAATATCTATTCTACAAGAACTCCCTCAAACAGACACAACTTGTCAATAGGTCTCGTAAGCGTCGTGCTTCCTGTACGTACAACCGCGCTACGTACAAGTCCATCTCTGCCTGGATAAGTGTCCATTACCTTTCCCAACAGTCATAGTTTGCTTGGAGTGGTTTCGTTATAAAGCAAAACGATGTCCCCAATCGAGATGTTTCGTTTAGGCGTGATCCACTTTTGGCGTTGTTGTAATGTCAGTAAGTATTCTCTTGTCCACCTTTTCCAGAATGAATCAGCTAAGTGCTGAACATTTGTCCATCTACGTCTGTACGCCTCAGCTGCATGAAGTTTCCAAGAGGCAAACTTGGACCAGATCTAAGAAGGAGTAGATGATTCGGTGTAAGTGGCTCTGCGTCACGATGATCGTCGGAGACAACAGTAATAGGGCGCCCATTTACGATTAACTCAATTTCACAAAAGTGAGTGTTAAGTCCATCATCGTCCAGAGGCCGACTTGTGTCTAGGAGAGCATTCATCACTTTGCGCACACATCGTATGAGTCTTTCCCAAACCCCTCCCATGTGGGAAGCAGCAGGAGGATTAAATACCCAACAAATTTCATTTCTTGTCATGAATTTCTGAATATGGCTTGTGTTCCAGTTCTTGCTGCCTCTTCATGATAATGTCCGATTATGAGGGTTGTGATAAGATGATGCTTGGGTAGAATGATTGGATGTTTCAAATTGTTCGAGAGTTCACTCATCTGAACTCTTCCTCCAACAAAAAGAAGACCATTGGAGTCTACAAACGGGTCAAGCTTGAACAATGGACTTGTTCCCTTAACTTGTTTCAAGGTCCATTTACGACTAACTTCACTTTGTCGACTGTTGTCAAAGCAACTTTCCGTCGATACAATATCGGATGTTTGACTTCAAAACCTTGACTTCACCTGAGAAGAACTCAGATTGCACATGTTTAAGAATCTCAAGTTCAGCGTTCTCCAACTGAACCTTTATTAACAGGTTCATTGGGTGATTCCTCACGAATTCTATGCATCAGTATTTTGCTTTAATCTCAAACAATGAGCAACAGCTTTCTTGGCATTGTTGCACTTTGAACAATGACTCATACGACTCACTTCAAACATTGTTTGAACACTAGAAGCGAGGGTTTTCACTCGCTTTATCTCTGAATCATCCAGATATATCTCAAAACCTTCACATTCCTGGTTATCAATGTCGAAATTGGGATCACACAAGAATCTTGGACCACTGAGCCAAGTTGATGTGGCCAAGTTCTGAGCACCAACACCTCGAGAAGCTTCGTCCGCAGGGTTGTCCACATCCTTAACGTGTCTCCACTGATCTGGTGTTGTATGTTCTCTGATCTGTTGAACACGATTGCCCACAAACACATGATAGGGAACTACTTCATTTGATATGTATCCCAACACTGCCTTGCTATCAGACCAAAACACCTCTCTTAACTTCTCACAGTGAAGTTCCCTTTGAAGAAACTTACTGATGCGTATAGAAATAGCAGCGGCTGTTAGTTCAAGTCACGGTATCGTGACTGGTTTCAGGGGACGCACTCTTGCTACTGACCGTAGCTCGCATCAGTCGAAGTGGTAGGGAAATAGGAAACTGTAGAAAAAGGACTATACTGAAAAGAGATGAGTGCAGATTTGCCTGGTCCAGACGACCCCATCCCCACCCCCATAAAAAACCCCGCAAAAACACCCCAAAAAACAGACTCAAAATTAAAAAACACTGATATCTTCGTATATTTGGTGCTGGCTAATCTGTACTATAACAGCCAAACGTGTTGCTGGCAAAACCGTCCCGTTATTTTCTGGTAAAACGGCCCAATGACATTAGCTCCACAATGATTGTGTTGAACATTTTTGGGTACTGTACCTCATCACCTCATTCAGTGTTGGAAACATAACTGAAAATATCATTAGAAACTGTTGCGACATACTGGAATAATGCTGGGTTTGGCGTTAAACAAGCTCCTAACGAACACAATAACATAATCATACACAACTGTTATTCCAGTCTCTTCTTGAACCACAATGTGAAGGCTTTCTTTGGAAATGTTCTTCCAAAAAAGCTCAAGCCGTGAACGGTTGAAAGTGGTATGGAAAATGACAATGTAACGAGCAAACAGCTCATTGTATTTCTCACATTGTATTCGGAAGTTGTATCACACTGTATTGGCACATATCATGTGTCATTTTTGCCGGATTATCCTAACATGTGCTTTCACAGGATGACACGATCTCCTGGCCTCTATACATACACACATGTTGCAGGATGAGAAGAAACAGTATAATTTTCTTTGGAAGCCTTCTCCAATGTATCTTTTTCAAAACTTACATCTTAAACATAGCCGAAATGTTCGGTCTGCTTGTATTGGCTCTTAACCTAGCAAAATATTATAAGAATATGAATCAATCAACCGACCGCCAATGTACAAAAAGTAAACCAGGATATTTGTTTCAACTTGTATTATATTTATGTGTACATGTGAGGACTGAATCTTTTCTTAACTATGTTTTCTACATATTGCAGAGATTGTCAGTGCTGATTATGGTAAGTACTAGATGCTATTATCCGTACTCAGAGTATAAATGCATTTTAAGTATGCATGGGAGTTTGATGGTATTGGAAACAATTATATTTGTTATTTCGAGTTTTCAGATGTCATGATCTTCCTTCTATACAGCGGGAAGGTGTCAAAATGACACATGGCATATTGGGGTGAACTTTAGAATCGTGTCTAAAATCATTCGTTTTAATTATTCTTGCACAAATAATGTATTGTTCAAGCAAATTACTTGGACGAGAATATTTTTATGGAAAACTTAGACATTTAAGGTAGATTGTATATAAAATTTAACACTATGCTGGATGTCTAAATCCCGCAGCCATTTGTTTTGTCACACATGTCCCAATCTCCTGACACCAACCCAGGTAGAATGACTCCCAAACAACTAATCCAGTAGACTTCGGTCTGCTTGTATTGGCTCTTAACCCAGCAAAATATGAAAAGAATATGAATCAATCAACCGACCGCCAATGTACAAAAATTAAACCAGGATAAAAGCACATATTAGTTGATACCTAACAGGTTTTCCAATGAAAATGTTCTTTTCCTACAATACGCTTGTGCTAATAAAAAAAGTTGATATATTTGATGTTTTGTGTATTTTGCAGGTTTTGGGGAACAGGGTAAGTATTCGACTCTGTTTTCCGAGTTTGTTGATGAAAGCCATACCTAAAGTGTGATGGCCATTTGAACACTCACACACAAACAAAAGAAGAAAAAATGAAAATGAGTTATAAGTGGGTGGTTGTCTGCTTATGTTGGAAACAATATTCACAGTTATTTAAGACTTTCAGGTATCATCATCTCCCCTCCGTACGAGCAGTTTCAGCAGAAACACACTGCAGTGGCTCAGGGGAACGTTGAAATGACTGTTTGCCTGGTCTGCCCAGTTTAGTGCGCAGTTGCTCAGCTACACATTAGATCAAGGGTACACGATATTAAAAGCAGGATTACAATGATAATCTAATGAGAATCTAATGAGAATCTACCGAAAATCAATAGGGACGGGCGAGACATAAAATCGATATTATTTGCCTGGTCAATTTTGAGCAAGAAACACACAAATAAATATTAAACAGCAACAGAATGACAACACGGCTTGTTAGGTTAGTTTTGCTGGAGAAATTCAGCTTCCAGTATAATGAATCTGTTACACACGCACTGTCGGAAATAGAAAAAAGAACTTTTTTTCGCATTTATGTCTACAATTTATGTAATTAATGTGTGAAAGTGAAATATCTCCTAACGTAAGTTCAGCGTAACTACAATCTAAGTGGTAGGGAAATAGGAAACGTAGAAAAAGGACTATACTGAGGAGAGATGACTGTAGAAATGAGCAATGAGACTTATTTGGAACAGACCATGGTTTTATGCAATTTAGTGTGCAATGAAATTGAATTACAAAGGAAACTTTGTCAATATCCATTTTGAAATTAACTTTCGCTTAATTATAAGCGATAGCTTACGTAACAAATAATAAGACTGAAACTATTAGGATGTAGCTACCACAGATTCTCACTTAGGCTGTCAAAAGAAACAGGTAGGGAGGGTCGTCTCAAAAGCAAAACCAGGACGGGTGTCACAGACGGTGGTTGGGG